CACGTTTTTTTGATTCTGTAAATGAGTCTTAAAAGAGCTCGATCGAGTTCAACTCGTTTCAAAATCAAGTCGAGCTCATGAGCGACTCATTTTGTTTACAGCTCTATCTTCGACATCTTTTCTGAAGAAAATAGTGCAAAATGTAACGATTAGTATATGGAGAATTTAAGGATTTTCAAATGAAATATTTTATTTTTTATTGCATCATTTATTCAACAGAAAAATCAATTTGTTCATTGATGTAATATCTCAAACAACCAACAAGACATTGATTCGGAGATATTATTCCTAGGGACTGCTGATGATTAAAAGTTTTCACGAGTATAAATTCTGTAATAAAAGATGAAGATATAAAGGTAACAAGTGGTCGGGAAATAGATGCTAATCACCGCAATCAATAGACATAATCATCCTAAATTGGTGAATAATAGATTATAATTTATGGCTATATTTGGTAAAATTAGTTGATAGCTGATAAGCTAGCTTATATATGTAATTTTTGAGTCTATAACTTATGACTTATAGCTGAAAAGCTAGTTTATATGATAAAGGTGTTTGGTAAAATTAGCTGATAAGCTAGCTGAAATAAAAAATTCAACTAGCTTATTTGAAAAGCCACTTAAAGTAGCTTATGAGATAAGCTCGAAGTTTTTAAATAAGCTCGTCTTACACCAAACGAGGCTTCTTTAAATGCAAGGAGCTTATAAGCTAAAATAAGCTAATCCTTATGATGCAACGTAAGAATTTGTTTTGATAAACTTTGTTATATTTTTTAAATACAAAAAAATGTAGCACATATATCAATTTATTTTTGGAGGCTAATCCTTATGATGCCGTAAGAATTTGTTTTGATAAACTTTGTTATATTTTTTAAATACAAAAAAAATGTAGCACATATATCAATTTATTTTTGGAGGATTACCGATAGTGGTTCAAGTAATAACAACAGTTACACACCAAATGATTTATTTACATAACATTACATCTTCACAAAAATAATTAATGTATATATTATTTTTAATAATAGCTTGTACATGAATAGCACTTTTGGCCCCAATTCTTCTATGGGCCAATTTTCCAAATGTAAGTAATATGGACTCATTGAGAATGAACTATATAACTTCAGCAATATGGGCCGTTTAATTGGATCAAATTTGAAATTTCAAGTTGGGCTTTTGTTGGATGTAGCCAACAAAATTCAATATGAAACCCAAATAAGATGAGCAATTCTTTAGGAAAAATGTATTAGGTTTTCATCCTAATCACAAAAGGACCCAGTTGCATTTAAAGTTTTCAAAAATTGCAAAACCATCACCCCTGAGGTTCTGCTACAAATTGCACTTTCAGGTTATTTGTTGGATAATGCTAACCCAAGGGATTGCTTTGCAATTACCAAAATAATTGTAATAATGATCGGATAATCGAGGTTCTACGTTTTATCTTTCTACCTTTACGAACTTTTCCTCACGGTACAAAGCAGTAAATGACGTTCTAGTGAAAAGTGTCGATAATAGGAGCAAAAGATCGAAAGTTATTATTCGATGATTATGCATATAAAGGTCTGAGTTGTAATAAGTGGTCATAACAGGACCACTCAATGCAATTTTGCAATTGAAAGCAAGAAATTTATTATATCTCAAAAACTTCCCCAAAGTAACATAATTTGGGCTATACCACAGCAAACTTGTACAGATGACATGTGACTAGTCTAGTGTAAAATGACCAAGTGGTCCTTGTGCATTGTATATTTCTTTCTCTTTTCTCTCATTTTTTTTTTGGGTGAAAAGGGAATTTGATCAAGTTTGTATATGCATACGAGTACTTTGTTGATTGAATTTCTTCTTCTGCAGGCATTTTTATAGATAGCATAAATGTTCATTCAATTTGTGTGCTCTTTGTGTAGTTGCAATGAATGCAGATCATTGTCTATTTTGTTTGCACCGTACACAAATATTGTCGTTAGGCTTAGTCATTAAACTATACTTTTTTTTTTTTAAATAAAATACATGTTTATACTATGAAATGACATACTTTTATCTATATTATATATATTTTAAAGTATAACACTGGAGTATAAAAGGTACGTGCACTTGTAGAAAGAATACAATTGTCTAATCATTAGACAACCTAATACAAAATTTATTGTCGATCTCAACAAAATTCATATCTAACAGAAAAGTTATTAGACAATTAACTAACAGAAAATTTACTGTTGATCCCAACAAGACTTTATATCTACTGCATTTTAGAAAATATATATTCATAATAGAAGTCAGGGGGCAGAAAATCAGTTTTTGAGGAATTGGCTGGTTTCCAAATTCATTTTTTATGTTATTTTTTATAATTTATCTAATTTTTTTGTTGCTGTGAAATGCTGTGGATAATTGCAGCAGGGATGTATGTGTCAGCATTATTTAATTCTAAATTCTGATTAAAACTAATGATTTTTGTCTTTATGTTTTATTTATTTTATTTTTAATTCATACAGAAAATTCCATGTCCTATAATAACTTAAGCAAATCCACTAAGATCTGCAAAGATTACTATAATGATAGTGATGTCCATGGAATCTCTTGAATTACAAAATTTAATAATAACATGTTTAATTTACAAATTTTGTATCTTAGCTAATGAAGATAATTTTTTAAATCACAATCTTGTTACTTGTACCTAATTCAAAACAGGCTATTATTTCTATCCAATCAGCCACCAGTCCACATTATCAATGGTGCCACCTTTGGTGGACATATTGTTGCTGCCCTCACATTTTTAGGTCTAATTGCTGGTTCACTATTGTGTGTATGTTTCAACTTTACACCAATCTTCTTTCATTAATTTATTATGGAGAATATTACATACATTGCACTTAGATTCTTCAATCAATTTATAAGATGTTCCTTGAAATTTTCTTTTTAAATTGTATGGTAACTAAATAATAAAATTGAGGGCAACGAAAATCAACCCTCAATTTTTTTAACTTTATACAAGAAACCCTATCATCTTTTAAAACATATTATTATTAGGTTAATTCCTCTCTAGCTACCTTTGTGGGTAACGCTTTAACGAGATTTATTGATGTTGGATTAATACACAACCATATGAATATGAGTATAACTGCATGTAATCTTATGGTGATAAAACCCGTGTCAACATTAGGATTGAACCTACCAAATTATCTTACATGTTAAATTCACTTTCTATATATGATAGACCTCTTCCAGAGGTGGAGTATTTGTAGAGTTGTTAAACAAAACAATCAGCTCGTGACCTCTTTTCGCTTATTAAAAATTAAAAATCGGCTCAACTTGTTAAGACTCGAGCTCAAACGGATTTAAATTTTGTTTTGTTAATGAGCAGATGAACTCGTCAAAGCTCAAAATTTTGAATTATATAACTCGGTTCCAGCTTATCTCGTTAATATTGATAAATAAAGCAAGTTTGAGCACGTTTATCAACTCGACAAAATGAGTATGAAAAGTTCGAGCTTGACTTGACTTGTTCAGTATTTGTGACGAAATTATTAACTTCCAACTTTACCCAAAAACTAGAATATTTTGTAATTATGCCAAAGTTGAGGGGTGGGGATCTATAATTACCCNCAATGTTCCCTTTATAAATAAAATAGACCTCACACACACACACAAAAACACACAATGTCCTCAAATCTTGCACTGCAAAATCATGCAAATTTAGAAGATTATTACATAGACATGGAGCTAAAAACAACCTCATCACCACCCAAAAACACAGAATTCGAGTTCCAAATGCCATTCTCTTGCAGAGACGACAAAAAGACACCGGAAAACAAAACTTCTCCGGCCGACGAGCTTTTCTACCGGGGAAAACTCCTCCCCCTCCACCACCCGCCACGTCAGCAGCTGGCCGAAATTACGGATATGCCCTCCCGACGCTCGAAATCCCCTTCACCGGAATCATGCTTCCAGCGGCCGAGCTCCGACGGAATTCTCCGTCAAGATTGCGACTTTTTCGAATTTTCCGGCGAGTTAGGCCGGTTTACCGATAACCGCCGGCCAGCGAAAAAGCTACCGTCCGACAACCTCAAGCTCGTCAAAAGGTCCCCAATTGCTTATCTGAAATCGCTCTTCCCAAAATCTGCTTGCGATTTTTCGTGGGGCGGTCGTAATTTGTCGAAAGGCGAGGCCCTTTTGAGCAAATTCTTCAAGATTCCGAAAAGGGCCCATTTTTCCGGGGGCACTGATGACAGCGGTGGCCGGAAATCGTTTTCCGGCGCCGTCAGAAGGCATTCTCCGACCAAGTGCTTCTCTTCGTCCTCATCGAATTCAGCTTCGTCCTCGTGTTCGTCCTTCTCGTTGAGATCCAACGGCCAGGGCGAGCTGGGATCTTCTTTCAGGAGGAGCAACGGTGCGGATGAGATTGAGGCCTCGATTGATGCCGCCATTGCCCACTGCAAAAGGTCTCTGCAGATTTATGAGGCGGCGGATTTGGGTGGAGACGATGAAGATGGCAAAAGGGCAGTCTCTTTGTAGGATTTACCAATTTTTTTGTATTTTTAGTTTTATGTATCTATTGTTTACTTTTTGGGAGTAATTACAATAATACACATGTCATTTCTATTATTATTATTATTGTTATTATTATTATTATTTTTTTTTTTATCAAACCGATAGGAGTTTTATAACTAAAACACATATTTACAATTAAAAGACGGCCATAAATGGGAGAACATCCGAGAAGGAGCCTAAACACCACAACGCACCAATAAAAATTATACTAATACTAGCTCCCAACAGGAGAATTTAGATCCCAAAGGAATAATAAAATACAAAAATTATAGAAAAACACACAAATACCAAACACCACAAAACATCAAACAACATAAATACTAGACTAAAGTCAATCTCATGGCTGGACAACGCACAAAGCAGACTACAGCCGTCGACCACCACATCGGACCGGACTAAAGCCTGGATTACAAACCTAGAAACTGCAACACATGCCTAACTGGATCTGAACCCCAACCCCGCGCCCGACAATCGACCCCAACCCCTCAGTCGGAGGACAACAGGCAGATCCCCAAACACACTACCACCGCTCCAAGCCTAACCCACACCACGGCTCCTGCTCGTCACGCCGTCCGACCGTCCTCTTTTCCCTAGCACCATGGGAGAAGAAGACCAAGGGGAAAAACCGACCACTTCCATGTCGACACCTATACACAAGGCAATCGACACCACCACCCAACCTCGCAAAAGCACAGCAGCCCACCTCGACTCGGCCATGGAAACCGGCGACCAATGCACCGGAAAGGCAGCCATGGAGATGCGATATCGCGTCGATCATGGCCCACCGAGCTCCTTAGTCTGAAAAGCCAGGCCTGGACAAAAATAGGGGCCGAGTCGTGTAGCCAGGGATCGTCCTCCATCAAGGTGCCCGGCGAATCCGTCGGGGAAGACAAATTGGAAGAAAGAGGCGACTCGAAGGAAAGGGGAATTTTTTTTCTTAGAGAGAGAAAAGATGGGAGAAGCTTTAGGCTGTGTTTGGTAGACAAATAAGCTAGCTTATAAGCTTTATGCATTTAAATAAGCTTCGTTTGGTAGAACGAGCTTTTTTAAAAAGCTCGAGCTTATCTCATAAGCTTCTTTGGATAACTTTTCAATAAGCTCGTTGAATTTTTTATTTCAGCTAGCTTATCAGCTAATTTTTACCAAACACTTTTATCATATAAATTAGCTTATCAGCCATAAATCATAAGGTATAAGCTATAAGTTCAAAAATTACTATATAACTTATAAGTTAGCTTATCACCTATTTTATCAAATACAGCACAAGTGGATTTTCGGAATAGATGCCCGCCATGCCATTTGATTGTACTACTTTGGTAAGTGGTAAGTATCGTTTTGGACCAATTTGATGTTAAAGATGGTAAATTATAGGTTTGATATGTTAAAATCTCTACTCTAATATTATTATTTGGTAAGTAGCTATTTAAAATTATTTTTAATACACAAAGTTCATAATGGAAAAGCTCAATGAGTTTTTTTTTTTATTTTTAAATATTATTGATATTTCAGTTAGTTTTACTATCAAACATGTATTTATTTATCAACCACTTTGCACTAATTCAATCATTTAGTCAAATCTTTTAAATGAAATAATTATACACTATCAACTAATTAAATAAGATCGATATTAGCAATCCGTTAAATGCCAAACAAAGCATATATATGAAAAACGACAATTATTACAATTTATATGCCCTTTCGAAATTTTGTATAATTAGGTCATGAGGTTTCGTAGACCTTTTTTTTTTATACCCAAATTACGTTGTTAAGTTGCGTAATAGTTAGACATTTAAATCTACTTAATAAAACTATATATTTACACTATAAATATCGTAGTTTTATTTACATTAATTTTTAAAATATGAAATTTGAGTATAGATATATGTAAAATTATTTAAAAACATATGAATATCTAACTATTCGACAACCTAACAGCAAACACTGATCTTTTTTTTTAATACAAATTCATGCAAACAACTAGACGGTTGTTAAACAACTAATACTATTTATTTTCAACAAAATCCCTACACTTAATACATTTTGCATTATTAGTACACAAATATTCAACAAATATTTATACTTCCTTACTGAGAATGTAAACAAATAATATTACATTTTGCATTATTAGTACACATTTTTATTTACATAGTTCTATCAATATTTGTCTATTACATGAGGTTGTGATTTCTGAATATAGAGCGTTTCATGTAATTAGGCTAAACTAAAGGGCACTATTTGAGAATTAGTTATTCCCTCTTTTTCATGAGGATATGATGAATTTGATGAGATGGCAAAGGCCGGACAACGTTCATATCTGGCAAAAGGTTTTGGGAAATTGTATGATTAACAATCTAATGTTATTTGTATAATTTCAACTTTATGCTTTATTACACTATAATAACATGCATGTTAATTTTAAAGCTACTGCAATATATTAAACCCTTATAGGACATGATTAAGGTCACTTTTATTTATTTTTCCCTAGTGAAATTCATAATCATGCATCTCTTTTATAAGGACTAAACAAAACATTAGGGTTTAAAGGGCAACAAAAAGAAAAGGAAAATATTCCAAACTTTTAAGAGATGAAAGAAGTCAGAAGAAGGCTACAAAACAAACAACTTTCACAAACACAAAAAATAAAATGTTGTGTGCACTTTTTCATAAACANGAAAAAAAAAAAAAAAAAAGCAACCACATTGCTTAAAGATAAAGTAACTTCTTAATGTGGGTTTGGTTGGGATTAATAGATCTGATGTATAAATCGAGTTCTCGAGTAGCTTGTTTCACAGTCGAGAGAACATCCCTCATAAAACCATGAAAAAAATTCTAACTTCTAAATTTGCTCGATTTTATAATTTTCTTTTTTATTGTAACTAAAAAATGATCTTGCTGTTTTAAATCTTAAAAAATCTGGTGCAAAAAACATTGATTTTCAGTGTGGGACCTTGAGGATGTAATTGCCAAGCCACTTGGGGCATGTGATTAATATGTGGCTTTTTAACCAAAGGTCAAAAGGGCTAAGGTCTATACTCTACATATGATCCAACAATAAAAAAGGAACTCATATTTCCTTACTACTTTTATGATTTTATTATGTGGGATAATTTTGAATCTCAACAAAAAAAGTGAAAATATGCACTTCATAAAAAATAAACTTTCTTTTCCCTTTATCTACATAATAAAGTAGCAAAAGTGAGAAAAAAGAAAATGTTTTGGGATTCTTTTAGAGTTG